CAGTGCCATGCTTCCGCCCTCGTGTCGGGACCCAGCCTCGCCAGCAATCTCCAGCGGCTGACCATTTTAGAGACCCGAGGCAGGCAGTCTGCCGGCGGCTGACCATTTTAGAGACCCGAGGCAGGCAGTCTGCCGGCGGCTGACCATTTTAGAGACCCGAGGCAGGCAGTCTGCCGGCGGCTGACCTTTTTAGAGACCCGAGGCAGGCAGTCTGCCGGCGGCTGACCTTTTTAGAGACCCGAGGCAGGCAGTCTGCCGGCGGCTGACCATTTTAGAGACCCGAGGCAGGCAGTCTGCCGGCGGCTCACCTTGTGCTCGGGGCTGTGCTCCAGGCTGGTGTGCCCCCCCGCGGGCTGTGCCGCCCTCCGCCTCTCTCGCAGGCTCAGGTGCTTGGTCTTGCATTGGCGCTTGCCCTTGGGCTTCTCGGGGTCGCCATGGCGACGCAGCCTCAGGCCCGCCTCCCCGCCTCCGCCATCCACACCCGCCCCCTGCGGCTCCGTCGCCCTCTGCCGCCTCCTGGCGGCGCCGTCTGGGGAGGGGGGGTCCGCGTGCACCGGGCCCAGTGGGGCATCAGGGGGCACTAAGGAGATCGGGGGGGGAAAAGAAAGTGTTTGCTGGGAAATGAAACATTATTCCCCTTGCATGATAACAAAAAGCATGCAGACCACCCAGGGAAGGGAAGGACTTTATTGAGATGACTGAACAAACCTTCACACAAAATGAGTGGGAGAGTGGTTGGGGGGGGGGGGGGCGCATGTTTACCCCAACATCTCACGCACGGCTGACAGACGTGCCTGTTACCCATGCAGTTCCTCGCGGAAAGAGCGCGGCTGCACAGCATCCCCCCCCCCCCCAAAAGTGGTGTACATTATTTATCAGGGACGTGAGACTGGGAAAATGTGCCTTTGAATGGGGGAAGGAAAAACACTGGGGGAGGGGTGTGTGCGTGCATGCATGCATGTGTACATACAGACACACACACACACACACACACACACACACACACAGCTGGCTGAAGGGCCAGCCTTGTTCATAGTTAACAGCCCCTGCCCAGCACACTGATTACCCCTTGGGTCGGGGGGGGACACAGAAAGCCATATTTGTACATCTGAGGGAACACTGGGGCGGCGCTACACCCATAAGGCAGCAAGGCACCCCCCACCCCCATCGGAGCAGGGAGAAGCCCCGCTCAGCTGCAGCGTTTTCCATCCACGGTGTCGTTGGGAAGCGCGCTACACTTCCTCGCAGTAGAGGGTGGGGGGGATCAGGCTGGGCCCCCCCTGCTGTCTAAGCCGCCCAAATAAGCTGGAGATGAGCCACTCAGCTCAGCGCGGCCTGGCATAAACCGCCTCCCCGCTCCGATAACGCTTAATTAACCCCCCCCCCCCACACCAGCCCTGCCACAGCCCTGGGGAAAGCAGTTAAGACCATTTCTCCGCTCTGAGTGCGCCACAAACTCCTGCGCCCAGCCACCCACCTCTACCACCCTCCCTCCTGGAAAACAACTTAGAGATGCCCCCGCTGACGAGCACGGCCCGCAGAGGACTGCGGAGGGGGGGGGCATTACTGGCGGCGTTGGAATGGGAGCTGCTCAGCACTCTCCAGCATTAGAAGCAGCTGCAGAGAGCTGTGTACCCCCCTCCCATTATGGAGAGACAGAGCAGACACTGAGATGGGGGGGGGGGGGGGGGGGGGGTTAACGGGTAATACAGGTATCAGTCTGGCAGCCTGTCCAGTTTCAGGCAGGCAGACAGACAGACAGGCAGGCAGACAATCATTTATCTCTATCTTTGTGGGGACTCTGCATTCATATCTATGGGAAAAACCCTAATCCCAACAATGACACCCTAAACCCCTAACCCTGCCCTAACCTTAACCATACGTAACTATGACGACCTTAACCTCTACCCTGCCACAGATCACAGATTATAGTATAGTTTATGACGACAAAAATGACAGGTTTTAATCACATTGTGGGAACATTTGGTCCCCACAATGTAACATATAATATACATGATGCGTGTGAGCACGCACACACACACACACACACACGCGCACACACACACACACACACACGCGCACACACACACACACACACACACAATGCCCCGTTAGCATAAGCATGACATTCAGGAGCACAAACAGTAGCTGCCAACAGCACGGGGGAACAGAGATAAGAAACAGTTAAGACGTCCTTGGCACGCGGGGGCCATCGCAGTTAGAGCGGCGGCGAAAGGAGACTCAGCGGCTCTCCAAAGATGTCAAGGGGCTCACGGCACTGATCACGGGCGGCCGCACCAAGCGGGCAGAGTGACCGCGGCACAGAGGCTGAAAAGTGACCACGGCGGAGTCCGGGCTGCGGGACTCGTGGCGATAAGCCCTTATCTGCTGGCTTTCAAAGGCCGCGTGCTCAGACTCACGCTGCGCTGGCACAAGCGTAGGCTCTGCGGAGACCAGTGAAGTGAGAAATACAGCATCTAAAGGCCCATATTTCACGATGACCGCCTGGTGTGTGTCTGTGTGTCTGTGTGTGTGTCTGTGTGTCTGTGTGTGTGTCTGTGTGT